AACAGGCTCCGAGATAGAAGAATCGCTCCTTAGGCTATAAAGAGCCCCGAGCGAAGTCAGCAAAGGAAAGGGCAGCCTCTGGCCACACGATCAGCTGGCTGACGCTGTTATCGGTTTGCCGATCGCCTTTTAGACCGCTCAAACCGCAGGCATGGAGGAGGTCTACAGACACTGCCCAACTTGCCTGAACAGCGCTCTGGCAACGCTGCTCCCACCGTTGCAGGAGAGAGAGCCCTGCTCTCCTGGAAGAGCAGCTGCCCTGGGAGCTGCTTGAAGCGAGGAAAAAAGGTACTGAAGATCGCTGGTGAGTGCTAACAGAATGCTTTCAGAGACACAGCTACTGACTGAAAGGAGCTGAGTCAAAAGCTGGGGTAACTTCCGGGGTCTGGCTTTTATATCTTAGTACAGACTCAGCTAAATGACGTCATAGGAAGGAGTCAACCCATCCTGGGCTCTCGATGCAGCATGGAGGAGAATACAGTATATCTTTTCCCTTCTATCAACTTACTCAGCCCTTGAAAAGTCTGTAAACATGTATTTAATTTAGCAATAAGCAATTTAATTAAATTTGCACATATGCACTCCGTTGCATAATTGAAGTTGATGATAGTCATTTGCAGAGAACAAATCTCCTTTTTAGCACAGATATGAAAAAGAGGATGGAAATTTCTCTCAAAAGTTCTCTAAACATTGCAACTTAAAAAAAAACCTTAAATAAATCTGCAATTCTAAATGTTAATTCTGCCTCTCCTGTGACACAGAAAGCAACTTAGATTCAGAACCTCTCTCAAAAATCAATAAACAAAGAATGAATGTCATCTATTTGTAAATACATAAATATACGCACTGCAAAAATTAAGAAAAACCATTATCCACACGACTGCTGAATATAATTCTTTTTTGCTCAGATACTTTAGATATTGGAATTCTGAATTTAAATCCACACCTCTGGAGATTTTGCACAAACAGCTCCAAGCAATGTAACAAGACCCTAATTCACAGTCAGTGTAAAATATGTCTATTTGGAAGTTCCAAGGCTTTCAAGAGAATGCTTAAGGAGCTAGAATTTCCATTTTGGAAACTCACATTTGGCATGAAGGAGTTGTTAATAAAATCTGACCTTTACCTGAGAATTTTCAGTATGATGATCATATTATTATAACTTCCAAAATTCACTAGGAAAGCTAGTGCAAAAATTATACATGTTGTACCATAAGCAATCAGCGATTGTTAGCAGGCACATCAAAAAGACAGGCTTAAACTCACATAGGATTTCTCTCTTCTTCTCCCCTCCTCCCTCAACCTCCTCCAATTTGGCTAACTACTGGCCAGTTTAATTCATTCTATAACTTTCGTTGATCTAAGAATGTATTATAGCAGAGTACAGTGATTTTAAGGGATACTGAAGAAATTCTATGAAGGTATCAGCCATTATTAATTGTAATAGCAAGACCAGATCTCCATGTTCAGGAAATGTATACCTGAATTCCAAATGCTGGCAGCAAGCAACAAGTGGAGAAATGTCATAATTGTCCTTTTGCTGGCCACTGCTAGAAATGCATTCTCATCCAGTGATCAAAGATAAACCTCTTCCTTATTAAAAAAAAAAAAATTGGTAGATTACATCACAATGAAGCACAAAATTTTACATCAGAATCTTTTTTTTTTTTTTTGCAAGGATGACTCTAGACCACATCATTCTACATTATGGGTCTCTCAAGAGTCAGTTCCAGACACATTGTAGAATTTGCACTTAATTAACCTGTCAAGGATAAGCATTCGAACATCTTCTCCTTGGTACTTGCTCATTTTCTACATGGTATTTTCTAGATGGTATTTTTCTGAATCTCTGGCTGGGTTCTACATGCTAAGGCAATGGCCGGGTTTCCACAGAACAATAAGCATGTTGTGTGAATCCACCTTCCATGAACCTCTTTCTTCTCTATTCATAAGTGATTCTGCCCCAAGACAAGATGTACGTCTCCATTTCCCCCCCACTTTTTTCTGTTTTTATCAATGTGGTTAAAAGCTTATTTACAAACAGGAAGCTCGATACATTTGCACTGGAAGCTTGCATTAGGTTTTGGGGACCCAAATGGACAACAAATGCTTTACATGACGTATGCATATTTACAGCCTTTATTCAGACTGCAGACTTTCTAGATTTTGACAGAACAAACATCGGAAAGAGAGAGATTCCACAGGTTTGATACATATCCCCCCCCCCCCAAAAAAAACACTCCACATTAAATACATTCCTTATGCAATTACAACTTCTGGGGGCTATTCCAGAGAATAATTTAGAGGCTAGCTTTCCTTCTGAAGATTGTGGTAGAGAAAAGAGAGGGTTCTCGGAGTATGAATTACCACTGTCATTCTCAATAGGCACAATAATCACTCATACACCCATATAAATTCAAACCAACATTCTATTTAAAATTTGCAGACCAAACAAAGCCATATTTTCTGGGTTTTGGGGGAGGGGGAGTAAAAGAAATAAAACCATTTGGAAGTGAGAACTTCAGCACATAGTTGTTGACAAGCAAAAGACAGAACTTTCCACTTTATGATCAGACTCAAATATGGTTTGCTTTGTTAAGAAGTTAGCAAGTTAACGGGCTAGAATATTGAACAGTGGGCAAGATTATATCCAGCTTCTCCACCATGATTTCTACTTCTTCTCCATGACCATGGGACATCTTTAAAACTGTAGCTCTGCCTGAAGTGAATAGCTAGAAAGTATATTGGGACATGTACAGAATATCTTTTTTTTTTTTCAATAACAGGTAATCACAACTAAATAAGAAAAGACTTCCTAAAAATCATGCAGCTTTGTATCCGGTTGTTCTTTCAAGGGACATATTTTTACCATTACAAATTTATATTACTCCTATTATGATTAGGAAGTTTCTCTTGTTTCTTTGCAACGTGCCGTGCACCCCCATCAAAATCTTTCTAAATTTTTCATATTAAAAAACAAATAAGTGCCACACCAGCAAAGAATGAAACTCAGAAAGCATTATCCTTCAACGTTAAAATCTGAGTTTTCACATGGAAGAGCATGACATACGCAATTCTCTAAACGCAAATAATTTTATTCATGTTTATGTTGTACATGAATACTTTTATTCATGTTTTATTCAGCCCTTTTATTTTTCTCCCAAATTTTTTAAACACAACAATATTTGTAGGGCCCGAGAAAAGCAAACCCCACTGTGCACCCAGATGCAAAGCAAGGAATGAAGTAAAATCCAAGCTCTACAAAGGAAGCCACATAGATCTGGTGTGCCAAAAAGGGGGGGGGGGGAAATGTCTATGACATCTTAAAAACAGTTTTATTATTACCATTGTAGGTCACAACCCACCTCAAGAAGTCTGCCATCTCCCCTTCTTATATCTCAAAAGCATCAGTTAGCCTCCTGTCCCTTTTATATTGCAAGCCATCTATTCAGCAGAGCAACTTGCCATGTTTGACAGATCTATTGATTAAAAACTATCCTTTTCCAGAAGAAAGAATCTCTGAATTCAGAGGCACTTAATTCTAAAGAGATACAGTACAGTAAATAGGGTGGCACTGATGCACAGACATCCATTACAGCCTGCTCCTCCCTCTAGAATATAATCACTCTTATCAAATCAAATGTCAATTTGCTTAACAAGTACAATAGTCACGTTATAATTGCTGGGAATGAACTGTCTGGCCATCCACTTTTGCTTCCCCCTCTTCTCCCAAGTCTGAATTAGCCAAAAAAAAAAAAAAAAAAAGAATTAAGAAAAAGAAATGCAGTCCAATCAGCTACCCATTCATGAATCGACTTCAAAGTTTGGAGGCGTTGAGACAACACGTTAAATCCGAGTGAACAAATCCCAAAACACAATGGTATCGGGGCTCCTGCCTGAGCAGAGGGTTGGACTAGACGGTCTCTTAAGATCCCTTCCAACTCTATTCTGATGGATTGGATCCAAACCGCTATATATTTATACACCACGCGAAATGGGACACAAATAAACATGTGAAGAGGGAGATAGATTGAATCATGCAATGTATCGAGACGGCAACTGGGTTTTTCAATAACAACGCTAAGTCCAAAACTACCGCCCGGTCCTTTTTTAACGTAAGTCCGGCGTGTTGTGCGAACCCAACCTAAGAGTTAGCGCAAGCGTTAGTCGGGCGCGTTTTCATCATTCCGCCAGGGGAGTCTGCGATTCTCCACCTGGCGGCCCCCCGGCCCCTCTTCCCTTTCCTAGGGACCCGCCTAGCCCGAAGTCTCCCACTCCTGCGGGGTGCCCCGGACCCTGGGCAAGCCGGCTCGAAAGGGCGACTCCGCCCTGGAAGTCGCCTTTGGGTCCCAGATCAGCTGGAAGTAGCCGCGCAGCGGAACCGAGAGCAAGCCCGAAAGTGCGCGCTGGGCTGGCGGGGTGGAGGTAGCACGCTGCCTCTCTTACCCCGCCTGCTTCTCCAAGGTCAAGCCTGGCTAGAAAAGTAGGGCTGGCGTTTCTCAGGCAGGTCCCACCGCCTTGGGAGCGAAACAGAAAAAGAAAGAAGGGCAGCAAAGGGTGGAGGGAGAAGTGGAAACAAGTGTCCCAGTCGCCTTCGCCTACCTTTCCAGCCCACCTTCGAAAACGAAAGCCGTTTAGACGGGATCAAGAGCAACCTCGCGCCAGTTTGCTTCTTGGATCCAAAGGAGGGAGCAGAAAGAAAGGGGTGGGGGGTGGGGGAGCCGTTTCCGACGAAGCGCCCCCTCCCTCCTTCCTTCCCTCCCTCCCTCTTTCTTTCTCTTTCTTTTGGCCTGCCCGCCTGCTCAAGGCACCCTCGCGCCCACTTCCTGGTTGCGTCTTTACTTCTCCCCTGCCTGCAGTTACGTGTGTCAGACTTCCAGCGCCGATGCCAACGCTTGAACTCGCCTCTAAACCAAGCAGGAACCTGCCTCGGCACGCAAAGCGGACATGCTGGGCTGTTTGCGCAGCGTTTCCTTTGCTCCGCAGGTCAGGAAACTCACCTGAGGTCGATCCAAGGTCCTGTTTGGGCAGGGGTCGGCCTCGATCCTTCCAAGGAGGATGCCAATGGTGGGAAGGGGGCTCGCTGTACAACAACCCGCGCAGGGGAAATAAACTTTTGAACAGCGTTCACTATTCTCCTTCACAGCTATGCTTTTTCTTTCTTTTTCTTTTTTTTTAAACTGAAGCCACTCCCCTGGGTCTGGCTGCCCACTTCCTTCAAGAGCTCTCAGTGAGGAGGAGTGTGAAACTGGAGCACGAGTGTTTGTCGAGCAAAAAGCCTTCCGGAGACCCACTGAGCTGAGGGAGAAACGAGAACCAAGCCAAGACAGTCTGTTATAGCCTGGATCCAAGAGGCAGCTGCTGGCCCTCGGATCTGCCTGTTTTTGAGGCACCCTGGATTGTCAGAAGTCAGGCCTAATATTCAAGCTTGCCTACTGCACCATATCCAGCATTGTCAAATTTCCCAGCAGTGTGAAAAGGAAAGCCCTCAAGCCACAGCAGGGTGGAAACCAATGGAGGAGGATTTGTGCTGAGCTAACAACCTCCAGGCTCTACAAAGAGTAAAGATATACAACGTGAGGGCATGGAAAATAAGTGATTCTTCTTTCTCAGGATTGCTCATCAAGCGCAGAAACATTGAATAGGAAAAATGGCTTGAAGTGGTCACAATGAATCAAACCTTGTTCTTTCTGGAATAAGAAACTTGCAAAATGTTTAACTGAAGAGAGATGGAAAAATATTAAAGAAGAAAGAAGCAGCAGAGGAATGTCTCATCTGCATGTAGCCCAAAAATATCTACATCCTGCCAGAAACCTGGAACCTCAGATTTCTAGCAGAAGAAGAGCCAAGCATGTACACAATGCCACTCAACTTCTGGCTCCATAGTTTGATGTGATGTTGACAGCACCTGCTTAGCTTACAAAAGCTAAACTGGGCTGGACATGGACAATTTCCAGTACCAGGAAAACCCAAAGATTCATACAAGACTGGCAAACAGGGGAAAATATATATATATCCTGGAGGAACACAGTGACAAACTATTTTGCAGAAAATGGTTTGTCGTTGTCCTGGTAATCACCAGCATTGAATCTTAGCTTCTTCTTTTTTTCCAATGAGATTTTTTTTTTTACCAATGAGATGGAACAGGGACAGACAGTGGCAACAACGTGGCACTGAAAGAGTGGCAAAAGCATTGGCCTGGTTGACCATAGCAATGTCAAAGAAAGCCTCTGTTCTCATCCAGACATTCCACAAACTCCCCCAGGCTGTGTTCACATGATATACTTAGCCTGGTTGCTCTATAGCCCATGTGCACAATACTGTACATTCAAACATAAGCTATCAAACAGCTTGAATCTGAACAATACATTTTCTTCCCCCAAGCTCCCCAACCAACACTGAACCAAGTGGCATCTTTACCTGACCCACTTATGTGAACATAGTCATAGAAACTGCACTTTGCTGGTTCTGCAGCATCAGGCTGATAGATCCACCTCCAAAAATAGCATAGATTGAGCAATACCTTTGTTCCATTATGTCTCTCAGACAACTCAACATGAGCAAGCCCAACCACCCATGGCAGGGGAATTTTTCTAAACCTACCCTCTTCAGAAAATAAAACTAGGAAGTGAAGAAAGCTACGTACCAATTCTGGTTACAGAGTGGTGGTTGTGAATAGTGTATTTCCTCTAAAGTAGCATAAACTTACTTTTACAAGTGCGTGGCCATCTGTGAAATAAGCCGATGTGCATACCAAGTGAAAGAAAAACCCATGGAAAGAAGTAGAGAAATATTAAGGCTGAACAATTTTAAAAGGATTAAAAATAGCAAACCCAACAAGAGGCGCCCGCCCACACGACAAAAGATCATTTTGCTCATACTGCCCCTATGTGGCCATCTAGTGCAGTATACAAATTGCTGTTCAGAAATTATTGGATAGATATCCAAGCTCATATCAGAGCAACAGTAAGTACTTAGACCAGAGGTCTCCAACCTTGGCTACTTTAAGACTTGTGGACTTTAACTCCCAGAATTCTCCAGCCAGCATAGCTGGCTGAGGAATTCTGGGAGTTGAAGTCCACAAGTCTTAAAGTGGCCAAGTTCGGGGACCCCTTACTTAGACTTACATAGACTTACTTAGACTTACATAGACTTAATTAGACTTCACAGTGCTTTACAACACTCTCTAAGGCAGTTGACAGAGTCGGCATATTGCCCTCAACAATAAGCCATAGGACACACCTTTTTCACGCTGCAATTCTAATAACTTTGTAAACATCTTTGTAAACATCAAGGAGAGAAGCAACTTAGAACTAAGGAGAAATTTCCTGACAGTTAGAACAATTGATCAGTGGAACAACTTGCCTCCAGAAGTTGTAAATGCTCCAACATGGGAGGTTTTTAAAAAGAGATTGGACAACCATTTGTCTGAAATGGTAAAGGCAGTCCTCGGCTTATGACCACAATTGAGCCCAAAAATTTCTGTCATTTCTTGTGAGTTTTGCCCCATTTTACGACCTTTCTTGCCATAACTGTTCTGTGAATCACTGCAGCTGATAAATTAGTAACCCAGTTGTTATGCTGAATGTGCTGAGCGATGCCTGCACTCATATGGCTCGAGTCCAGCTCTGCAGGACAGGGTGAGCACCCATCTCTTGTCCCTAGCCCTTGCCCACCTAGCCTTTTGAAAGCATTGTTTGTGAGTAGATAGATAGGTACCACCATTTATTTTAATGGAATATAGTGTGCCTTTAAAAACATTGAATGTGGTGGTGGTCTTCTTTGACGTACATTTCCTCTAGCCACAACCAAATTTTATACCAAAAATCCTGAGCCTTTTTACAGGACCACCATACATGGTAGTATGTGGCCTGTTCTTTCAGACATTTCCAACAATTAGGTAATTGGTTTCCATACATTTTGGCCAATCCTGCTGGTGGGAAAAGCCACCTATAGAACATCTGATATAAGTTTTCCTTGTATAATGTTATTTTTTAAATTTTGCTCCAGATTGATTGCCATTGGTCCAGATTTATATTGTCTCCAAAGTCCTTAGCCCAGGTCACCATCGTTTCTTTGACCTGTTCTTCATGCATTTTGTAGTCCAGTAGGTATCTGTAAATTTTTCTTATTTGTTTATCTTCTGATGATAGGTACCACTATTTTGATGGTGGGAAACTGCTGGCTGTGTTCTGTGCGGGAAGCTGGAACTGCCCAGATATGAGTAGCAGAAGAGGGGAAAGAAGTTGGAGAAAGTCCTGGATGAGCTGACTTAGTCTGAGAAGCTGCTGGCCAGCCCGTATGAAGCTAGTTCACCCTCTTGTGGTGCAAAAGTGCAACAAATGAACTAGTGACTGTGTGGGCTGCCAGGACTTCTACTGTGTGCATAACATTGCAGCCTCCCTGGTCTTGTATGCCGTAGGCTGAATAAATAAAAAATTAATAATTCTCCCACACAGACTATCTGAATATATTTTTGTCTCTTACTCCTCTGGAATGCACTCCCTCCCTCCTCGGATTCTGGACTGGAGTTCCTCACAAAGATGGAGCCTGAGGTGTAGTATTGTTAGGTTAGGGTTTCATATTATAAAGATTCTGTTTGCATTGAGACAAATATTTTGTTAAGTTGCTCCAGGAGCACATCACATTATTTGATCAGATTTTGACTGAAGAATCCTTTGCTCCACTACCTTACTCCAGAGTATACTGGTTTATAAAACTGAAGTTTGATTTGGTGCCTCTCTCTCCCTCCCTCCCTCCCTCCTTAAATGAATGTGGTGTGTGTGTGTGTGTGTGTGTGTGTGTGTTTGTGTGTTAGGCTTGGAGACAAGAATAAATAACTTTGGTGAAAGCTGTATGAATGATGGATCCATTTATTCAGGTGGGTAATAAAATATGAACTGTCATTTACAGAGGAAAGCAATATTGAATAATCAAGTACAGTAATTCAACATTAAAAGAATTATTTAAGAAATTAGTCTTTAGGCATCCTCCAACATAAAATGAAGACAGAATAAGTATTTATTGAAAAAAAATGTTTTAGTTAGTTATATGAACAAATTTCCTTTGCTATGGAACTCTAAAAACAAAACCTAGTATGTTGGCTGTCAGTAGATTTCCCAAAGTGGATGGTGCTAGGGGACTTCAACCTGTCATCCTTAGGGGTGGCATCTGAGGTGACCTGCCAGCCATGAATTTATCCAGGATTATCAAGGCTCCAACACATGCTTGTTCTGCATTGAACTGGATCAGGTAGAGATGGTATGATCAGGCATTCAGTGGACTGTAACATCCACTGACAGATCAATCATTCTCTAAATCAGGGGTCTTCAAACTTGACAGCTTTAAGATTTGTGGACTTCAACCCCCAGAATTCCTCCTCCAGTCATGGGAATTCTGGGAGTTGAAGTCCACAAGTCTTAAACTTGCCAAGTTTGAAGACCCTTGCTCTAAATGCTTTAAGGTTGACTTGTGCCACCAATCTATGAGGGGGAAGGCGGGATCGATTTGATTGGTCTGCCTATGTGTCACTTGGTTTCCAGAGGGTCCCTGGGGAGTTTCCTGAGGCTGTGCTTGGCTTTGGGTGCCTGGTGAAATGAGGGGATGGATGTAGCTTTGGATAGGATTGTGCCTGAGTGATCTCTCCTTGATCATGGATGTAGGGGAGTTACAGAGTTTACTGAGGAGCTCTAGGAAATGGAGTGGCAGAGAAGACTCCTAGAGTGTTGCTGATGGAAAACAAACATGGATAACAGCTCATATCTGAGCCAATTCCATTACAGTAAGAGCGGTAAAATATCAATATTTCTCCACTCTGTTTGGGTCCTAGACTCTTGTTGGAGAATGGTGAGGTAGATAAACAATTACATAATCACTCTGTTGAATTTTCCAGACAATTGGAGGTAAAAACCATTGAGGTCAGCTCCAGAGGTGGTATTCAGCAGGTTCTGACCAGTTCTGGAGAGCCAGTAGTGGAAATTTTGAGTTTGGAGAACCAACTCTTACTGGCCCCACCCCCATCTATTCTCTGCTTCCCAAGTCCCAGCTGATCGGCTGGGTCTTCTTTTGTTGCCCTGCACAGGAGAATGGAGCTGGAAAGCAGGTAAGTGGGGTGGGGAGTTGGGGAGAGAATTGAGATTTTACAGTATCATTTCTGAGCCACGCCCACCAAGCCACACCAAGCCATGCCCGTGACAGAGGAAGGA